GCGTGGGATTACAGGTAGGAGATTAAAAAGTAATCTGCACAGTTGCTTCACGTTAACGTATTCAGTGTAGCCAAAGCGAAATAGATTTTTCTGAAGTAATTAGTAAGATTTTATCTGAAAATCCCTAGGAAGCTCATACAGGAATGCTAAGATGGGGGATATGTGAGCTTCCTTTTATTGGGGTAGTTAAAAATCTATCTGTTGTGTTTTAATCTAGCTGGAGATGAAAGCAAGCTTTATATGCGGCCAGTCAGCAAAGAATAAGAATTCTCATTTGGTGCGAAAATGAAATCATCTGAAAAGATTGTATTTTCTGCAATTGCCATAACTGTCATTGTAATGGTGACTGTTGACTTTCTGCTCCTACCTTCAGATATACAGCCATTTAATATATATACAGACGGGTGACCAATAAAATCCACCAGAAGAGTTTCGGTGCTCCTTGGCATAGACACTCCAAGTCTCTGTAACTCTGCTTATCCAAAAGATGACATGATTCACATTATTTTCACTCTCTCTGGAAAAGACCTTTTCTATCAGGATTGAATCATTTCAGTGAACTATAATGGTGATCTCTCTTCCATTTGGAAACATCTGCATTTGTGATGTTTTTCCCCCCATTTATTCAGGCTTTGTATATAGACATATGAGTGTTGTACATGCATTTGATGAAGATAAAGTCTGGATCTGTAAAAATGATGTATGGCATGGGTGTGTGTGTCCACTGTCGCCAGCAGCAAGATCTTTGTTATTGACCCATTAATTATTTGCCCATCATCTTAGAAGGCGCAACACATTCTGCCTGCACAATCTACCATCCACTGTCCAATAGTTGTCCACAGTGTGATTTATTATTTCAGCATTGCATCAATACCACTTACCTGCCACTGGTTCCTCACTTGCCCAGGAAGGAAATGGATTACTGAGAGAGAAGGAATTGGGCAAGAGCACAGGGCTGTATGTTACACCCAGTGAGGCCTTGAAGATCAGCATTTATGATTTCCATTATAGGCGAAAGAAAGATTATTTGTGAACAGGTGAAAGGCTCTCGTTCTTTCTGTCCGTCTCCCACAATCTCTTAACTTCCTCAATGATACGGGTAATTCATCCCCCTGTATATCTAAAAGATCTCCTCATATCACTCCCTCCTCCTGCATCACCATTCCTAGTGATTTATACCGAGTCCTGGATAGTTGATCTTTATTCAGCAGGCAGCAGGCAAAAGCTGATAACACCAAGGTCCCTCATCAATTCTATCTAGCACCCCTTTCCTTGCCCCGAGCCACAACCTTTTTCTCTCCAAACTCATCACCAGAAGATGCAGTTCACTTTCTGGTTGTTTTTGTGCAGTGAATTCACAAGGAGCCCAACAAGACACATGTGGTTAAATTACTGAAGAAATCGCTGCACTTTACAACTAAAGGCAGAGATCCCCTATGGCTGCTGAGTGGACAGACTCGAATAGATGTGAATGGCACTCTCAAAATAGCTGGGTATGAATCATAGACTGTATATAAAAAGGTAAGAATTCTGCTTTTTGGATTTAGGATATTGGCATCAACCATCAGATTGGTGGACTTTTGATGTCTGGCTCCTGTGAAATGGTGAAACATCTGGTATTTCATCATTCATCTTTTTTTTCCCCACTGGTCAGAACTGTTCATTCAGTAGGGGCGGCTGTGGCTCAGGTGGTAAAGTGGGTTCCCCGTTAATGGGAAGATCATCGGTTTAAACCCTGGCTCCTCCAGGCTGCATGTCGAAGTCTCCTTGGGCAAGATACTGAACCCTGAATTGCCCCTGATGGCTGTTTCATTGGTGTATGAATATGTGTGAATGCTGAATGCAATGTAGTGTAAAAGCGCTTTGTGTGGTCGACTAGAAAGGCACTATACAAATACAGAGCATTTACATTCATCTTCCCCGAGTTCAGTCAGAGAGAATATTTGCACAAGTCAGAAAAGTGCTCAGAGGGCTTTTTCATTTTCTCTATCTAAACAATGAAAAACAGTTTTAACCAATTGAGATTTGCATAGTTTAGCACCTCTTAATGTTAATTAAAAAAAATTTAAATTTATATTGCATGTTATCTTCAAAGATGGAACAGTGTACTGTAAATCTGCTCAGTGAGCACATCTCTCCATTCTCTGTATAGTACACATACAATGACCAGAATATTTAAGAAAGTTATTCAAATAAATGTAAATGCAAATAATTAAATTGTGGCTTTTAAGTTTTGGGAGTAGCTAGTCATCATAAGAATATGATGTGTAAAGCCGTACAGCAGGGGTTGATTATGAATGGGCTGGTTTATGCGGGTATCTTTACATTTACAGTACAGAGCTTTTTGTTTGCTGCTGTTTTTGGAGGTTATACTAGAAAGACAGAAAGGAGACTGGCTTGGTGCTTGAGTTTATTTTTAACATGCTTACAAACATTTTCTTCCCAAAACATGCACATAAACACACAAACACACACAGACGGTTACTCTTGTTTTTCTTCCGTGAGATACTAAGGTGGGGATCAGACGGTGTTCTGGCCAACAGATCTGAGAATTACAGTAGCACACAGCTGCTGCCTTGGCTCTGTTACAGCTCACTGACACACAGGTGGTGTTTGTGTGTATTTTTTTTTGCGCTTGCATTTGTGTGCGTAAAGACTGAAACTTGGTAAGAAATGTTAAACTTAGTAAAACAAGACTAATTTAAATTCTGCATACTTGCACCTAAGGAATGTGGTAGCAAAGTGTAACTAATCCCAAACAAAACATTGTACTTGTATGTGACTTTGGCACTGCATTTAGAAAACAGCTGCAATACTGCCTGGGCTACACACCATAATATGTCGGGAAGCCGTACATATTGCAAAAAGCATAATGCTAATTAATTATTTTAAAATCATACAATGTGATTTTGTGGATTTTTGTTTTAGATTCCGTCTCTCACAGTTGAAGTGTACCTATGATAAAACTTACAGACCTCTACATGCTTTGTAAGTAGGAAAACCTGCAAAATCAGCAGTGTATCAAATACTTGTTCTCCCCACTGTATATGGATTAAACGAAGCATCGATGCAAAGAATCATCTTGCGGCTGTGTTTATAAGGGTAAATGCCTGCTGTATGTCATCCCTCTCACTTTTACCCAAACTATTTGAAGACAAAAATGCTGTGATGCATCTCGAAGAATCCCTTTCTGGTAGTGCTGTTATTTCAAATAAGTATGTGTCCTCAACCCACTTTTGATTTATTGTTGCCATAAACACTCCTGAAATCTAAATTACTCCCCTGCTCTCTTCTCCCTCTGTAGTGCTCTTCTCTATTTCTCTCTCCCTTGTTTCTTCTTCCAGGCTTAGGAGACTTAGGCTGATTCAATTTTGATGCTCAGAAATACTGAAACGTTAAATGCACAAAACCCATATTCTAAGTCGTTTGCATCTGCTACACCTGCAATATTTTTGGCATGCAATTCAAGAGAGTGATTTATAAACACAGATCAATGCAGGTTTAATTTCCAGTGACAGTGAAAAGCAATAAACATTGGACTACACAACAATTTGAGCCGTATGAGTTTTCAGGAACTGAAACTTGGAATAATATTAGAGAATACTACTTAATCTATGTGAAGGCCCAGCTACAAAAAGTAATGAAAAATAGCTGATGTAGGTCTTGTATTGGAAGGTACTGGTTGGGAGTCTGCTGCAGATTTCTTCAGTTCATACAAAATGGACATCAAAGACAACCTCACTTCAAGTCTCCATCACACCTTTCTGTTTTCAGTTTGTCTCTGCCACAGGAAGCTGTTGTTGTTTTCTCTGTGCCTCTCCCTCCTCATCACTTGTAACCACAGATTTGCCACTATTGATCTGAAAACACTCAGCATACAGCCTGCTGTTTTGATTGATTTTTGTGGCCAAGGCCAGATGGGTTTTACACTTCCTACTTTATTTCTCTCACACCCTGAATGGGAAATTATATGTCAGCTCCCAAATTTTATTAGTAATAATCAGCTGTTGTTGCTGTGTATGAAGCTTTTTTGTCAATGACACAGTCCATACTATGGTGGTGGACGGGTTTGATATTTTGAAATATAGTAATATAGGCCTCTACGATAGTATCGTTAAGACAATAGAATCAAAATAAACAAATTATCCGTTGTCAACATAAACAAATTGAAGGAACTTATTTCTAACTAAATCCAGTACAGATCAGGAAATTGTGGGAAGAAGTGAAAATTGCAAAGGTAGATGTGATTTTTCTAACTTTAGAATTACAGTTGAATCATTAAAAATTAAAAGGAACTTAATTTAATGAATAAAAAAAACAGTTGATATTGACTAGCAGCTATGTACAGCGTGCTAACCTCTACAAGCCAGCTGTATTCTAACGTTAACATAGCTATCCTTATTAGCTAGGTTCCTTACATGCTTGCTAATAACTTTTTTTGAATGTCGTCCCCGACATTGACAGCCTTTGATTGGACAGAGGTGTTCCATTCAATTCACAGACGGGTCGGTTGTCAATGTGTTTGGAAGAGAGGTTAAATACAATTTTACCCATTTTAAATGGTAAAAGAAAATCATCATGTGGTGGTCAGCGTTGATATTGTAGCCGGCCACCATAATTGAATGTATGGGAAACACTGAGTTTACCCCCGCTTTTGCAAAGAAGATCTGGATACAATGCAGTCCTTTGCTGTTGGTATATCATATGTCTGCTGCGTCTTCTAAACGTGAGTTTGCTGACAGGAAGTGAGTTTGCTGACATGTACAACATTTTGCAGGAAATGGCGATAATTGGTGAAATTGCAGAAATGTCGCCATTATTGGTCAAAATTGCAAGTTGTAATTTGTTGAATTTGTGTTAATAGTTGAGATTGTGAAATCCTGCTTTGTGCTTTGTGTAGAGACAAAGTTAATAGGAGATTTTCATCTTGTCGTTTTCTATGGGTTAATAAATTGTAAAGCCCTGTCTTCTTTGTGCTATGTTTCTGATTGTGTGTGCAGGGAGTGACGTACTGTGGGGAAAGCTCTGCCAGCAGTCTGACCATGGCTAACGTCCCATGGCACCAGGAAGTGGTTGCCTTTGTCCAGCAGCTGGCTGACATGCTGCCTCAGTATGAGATCGCTTGCGAACATGAGCACTCCAACTGTTTACTCATCGCACACACCAAGGTAAGAACTCACCTTCAGAGGGTCATACATAACTTAACATACTATATGTGCAGCCTATATCAGTTTAACATTGTGAGCCCTTAAATTTTAGCTAATGCGCTTTATTTTTGTGCCAACAATTCATTGCTACCAGCTTCTCAAATGTGACTATTTTCTGATTTATCTATGCTAGTAAGTTGAATATTTTTGAGCTTTAGACTGCTGAAGTTGTCATATTTTCTCACATTCTATAGAACATATGATTAACCGAAAATAGTCCACAGATTAGTCGGTAATGACAATAATTGTTCGATGCAGCCCTAGTGTGCAGCCCAAAGGCTTAACCCTTTGATGTAATTAATGTTGCCTGCATTAATAATTAATTCAAACACAAGAGACATATTTACTGGAGCCTAGTTATTGGCCATACTGTAGAAGGATAAATTCATAATTTTAGGGTCATTGCTCAGCAACGACCACATAAACAATTGTTTTAGTGTTAAGTTAGAATGTAGACTGCTGTATGTTGACATATACATGTTCATTAGGTACAACAATCTGCTGGATATTAATTGGGTGCAGCTTAATGGCTCCTGCTGTTGTGCACATTATCATTTGGAAGTTATCAGTGGACCCAGACAGTGGATACTGCATTAGCTTCCCTTCACACATAATAATGAATAATGTATATCTGGTGATCCTCTTTGCAGGTGTTGTGATTCTGCAGCAGTTCTTTTCAGACACAAATACATAGACCCTTTATCTCCATTTTTATTCAAAGCAGTTTTCCACACAGCTCAGAAACTCACAGCAGGTTTCTAGATTGTAAATTGGTGTTTTGATTTAGTTATGTTTTATTATTTATATAATTTAGTCTCCCGTTTGCTTTCCTTTTGAAATATGCAACCATCAGAGTGGTTTATTAAGGTTCACCCATCCCAGAAAGTATCTGTGTAGGGTTCTGCCAAAGCAACTGTCTGTCAATAATTAATGAATGATGATTAATTGCTGCCTTGGCTCTTTCTGACAGAATAGAAATTCAAGCCAGCACCCAAACCTCCCTGTCAAACACACACACACACACACACACACACACACACACACACACACACACCACACACACACACACACACACACACACACACACACACACACACACACACAGATAAACATAACCGGTGTACTTGATGTCTTATCACAGTTTATTTAAGCACCCAAACTCCTAATCCTCCTTTGTTTTTATTTACTGAAGCTTTGTTTTCATGGGACTGCTTACAGATTTATTTACTTCTGTGGTGTCTGTAGGCTCCGTCTGGGCCCTCAAGGTCCGGAGGGATAACATGAGAGAGAAAGAAAGTCCATGGTGTTTATTGTTTCTTCTTCACATATTCTACGCAATGAAATGCTTATTTTTTATATTTTTGTGTGAAATGCTACAGAAGTTAACTTTCCGAGAAGCAAAACAATTACTGGTTTTAAAGTCACAAGAAACCACACCTATAATGTTAGATCAAGATTTAGTTCAAACACTGTGTTTGCAGCATTCATTTTGCTTAGCGCTAAGGACTAAAATAACTACTGAAAATGTAGTAATATTTTGACAGTCAAAATTGACAATCCGTTCCCTCCTGTCTAAAATGTGTAAAATGGAACAGGGAAATGTGTACAGTAGCACAAAATAGACCAATCGTGTTTTATGAGTTTAAAGTTTATAATGCTGACTACTGACTACTAATGACTACTTGAAGACTTGAATGAATTTGGTTCTTGATGGAAACAGTGTAGTGTAAACATTGTGTGTCTCAAGATTTGTGATTAAGGCAACCTAACGTTAGCCATGGCTCCAGGGATGATGATGATGATGATGATGATGATGATGATGTTGGTCCTCTGTTTTGGTCCAGACTGAAATATCTCTACCACTACTGGATGGAGTGGCACAAAGTATAGTGAAGTCACGGTCACTGGACGATGAAGCCGGATGACTTTGATGCTCCCCTAACTTTTTGTTTTTCACATTTATGGTTTCAAGTAACTATTGAATGAATTAGCATTAAATTCGGTACACACATTCATGTTTCACATTGTGAGCTTGTTAGCATGCCGACATTGGCATTTAGTACAGCCTCAGACAGCCGCTAGCTTAACTGTAGACTCTTAGTCTTGTTATAAAAATGATGCACACACGTTCTATAAGGTGTTTATTCTAAGATTCAATTTAGAAATGCTGTTCTGGTTGATACAGATATACTGACCTACAGGCCCTTGCATACACGCAAACAGAGATCATCCTCACCACTATCATTACCTTCTTGGGGATAATAACTATCTTTTTTCATCCCTCTATCATTCACTCAATAAGACAAATATTGTTGTGGCCATTTGTGCAACTGCTTTAGACACTTTAAAACAGTTGCACCTCCTCACCTACAACCATCAGTATTTATTAATATACACACATTCTCCTCATCTCTTTTCCTTTCCTGCTTTCAGTCATGCGGATTGCAGTATTAGTGCTCGCTCTGAAGCAGGACCTATCTGCCTCTTAACTCATAGCTCTGGCTGAGCGACCGGGAGAAGAGTGAACAGCATTTTACACTCGATGAATCCTTTGAGGCTTTTTTAAGCATACCTCCAATTATGCTTTTTTTTCCCCCCTCCCACTGTGTGTTTGTGTGTTTCTCTATATTCACATGTCAATGCACATGCACTTGAACAAGTTGTCAGGGTGTTAATGCCGTTTCTATTCAGTACCGAGGGTGAAGTACACACACTCATGTGTAAAAATACCAGCAGGAAAGTGTATTAAGGTTATTATTGTAAAATGAAACTGGTGCAAAAATAAAATTGTATAAGAAATACTTTATAACATAGGAGAGAGATATGCATAAACTGAAAGAAAACTTTAACATAAAAACATTTAATTAATTAAAACAGAATGGAAAAATAAATAAAAAGTGACCTGGGTTATCTTATTATCTTTATATATTGTTCGTCCTGACTATATTGGTTGACTTTCACAGATACTTATGACTTTCTTTGATGAATGAATGAATGAACAACTTTTGTGAGAATTACTTTTTGTTTTTTGGCATTCATCAATATCCCAGCAGAGTTTTGAGATCTGGGGGCAATTTTTAGGTTCCTCCTGTGAACAGAGAGTCTGATGTTTTTCTGTGAAGTATCTTCAGCGTCCTAATGCCTTAGTGCAGCACACTCTCAGCAGGAAGAGAATCCAGAATATGTAGTCCTCCAAGTTTTACTGTTAACTTATGTAACAACAGAGTTTAAAACGCCTCACAGGACAGAACACCCGTCTCATTTTGTGTGTGTCTGCATGTGTACTGCACAGTCCTCAGATCTTCTAGTTCCAGCTGGATGATATCACTGTTTGATGTAGTCCTTTAAAAGACATCAGAGCTCTGTGAGCGTGTGTGTGTGTGTCTGTGTGTATCAGTCTTTAGCACCAAGTAGCGATGGATCCTCCCTGCACTGGCACATCATCATAATTAGTTCCTTTTGAACCCCTGGGATCTTCCCATTGATTGAGGCATTTCTCCCTTTTTCTGCATCTCTCACACCTCGTTCTACTTTCTCTTCCAGTCTTTTCTCTCTTTCATCTCCCCTCTCCTGATCATCTTTTCTTCCTGTTATTCTCCATGCTCTTCCATCCATCTCGGTCTCATTTCTCCTAGAGGACGGTGTAATGAAACCCGCACAGTTAAGACACAAACCTCCCGGAGAAAATATTCCCTAAAGTTCCCTTTGACCTACAAATCCATGCTGTTGTGTTTGTTTGAAATTCCAATCGAAGTCGTCCCTTTTTGCAGTCAGACACCCTGTCAAACTTTTTAATATTTCTTATTACTGTAAGTAAAAAAATGTCTTTAAAGATGCATCAGAAATGATTTTGTTTAGATGTAACCACTGCCTGTGGTGGTTTGTGTATCCATTTGTCACCACTTTGCTGGCAGTTCTATAGTTTTTTGACAGTTGTCTAGTTCTTTTGACCAAGTGGGACATATTGTAGCTATCATTCCGTAAGTCTCATTACAACTAGATGGCATACTTTACATTACATTTGTTTAACTTGCACTTTTATCCAAATTGACTTACAAGAGGTGCAACAATGTGGATACAATGAAAAAAAAATGCTAATTGAAATATTTGATGGCTGTATGCAAAAAAAGTCTTTAATGCAGGCAACAGTGTGCACACAGGCAGGCCTTCACTAAACAAAAAAACATACATATACATACATATATAAATAGCAATTTCTCCCTTTTGGGCACTTTTTTCTCACAGGAAATCAAATTTACAGATTAGAGCAGATTCTCCATACAGTAGTATAAAAAGCATGCAGTGTAATTTCTTGGTGACAGATATAAGATGTGATGCTTCTTCCATTAGTTCTGTGTGAATGTGTCACCTCCTGTGGTGCTCTGTGAAGAACCTGTCCTCAGTGATCCTCAGCGTGTTAGTGAAAACAACACGCTGTCATGTTCTCGTCTCAGACAGCGTGGCGTTACTTGTTGCTTAGATACTGAAATTGTTTGCAGAGATGCCGGCTGAACAAATATCATCCCATGTCATTACCAGAAACATTAACTCCCAATAGGCGCCGTTCTCCCCCCATTAGCAAATTAGCAATGCAGGTAGCGTTTCTCTAAGGGCTGCGGCTATAAAAGCTAATGCTCAAACACTTAATTGTGTTAATCCCTCAGGAAAATGTTTAACTTGGCTAATAAATGTTAGTCCTACATGAGAACATATTGTGTCATTTTGACTAGAAGAAAGTCAGTGAGTTTTATCCCTCCCTTTTTGTGAATTACAGCTTTAGAAAGTGTAAGTCTAAGAATTTCAAAGAAGAAAGCCTTATTGCACACACAGGGGTCCGGTCAAACCAGCCTTGAACCTGAAAGAGCTTTTAAATGCTAAATGCGGAGAGCTAAAACACAACAGTCGTCCCCAGTGACGACTTAGCACCATTTTGCATCCAGTTACAGCTTGTCAAAAACCTTCAAACAATTCCCCCAAGTGAGTTCAAGTCATTACGGACCATTTTAAAGAACAAACTTTGCTACACGCTGCCATAAACAGCAATACAGTTCAAAGGAAGGGCTGTGCTCTATGTAATACCTACTTGCTTGCTCTCTGTTTCTTCCCTTACCTATACAGACAACAAGGGATACATGGTTTTGTATCAGCTGGAGAGCACTGTTGCATGCTGGGAACTGTAGAGGACACACTCTTCACCCCTTGTGCTGGTTTGGAAAAACAAGCAGGATTAGAGAGGCAGAATGCTGTTAGAGGCTTTTCCCTCACTGTGAAACACTCGAGCTGTTCTCCCTCTCTGCTAGTTAGTGTGCCTCTCACAACGCAAACACGCACAGACTCTTTTCGGCTCCTCGCTCTCCTTCTGTCCATTTATTTAGCTCTTTTTTTTTTTTTTCTCTTCAGCAAGATAGATGGTGAAATGGGTGACAGAGTAAGAAGCAGTGATTGATAAAAGGAGAGATGTGAGGAAAAGGGAGGAGGTGGAGTTGGTGAATCCATAACCAACCACACTAACAGCAAGTGTCAGATGATGAGCAAGGAGATCTGTAATCATTGTTGGATTTTATATTATTTTTTAAATCAAATCTGTAAATGTTTGTTGTTTATATTCAGAATATGCAACACTTCTCTACATCTGTGTTACTTTCCTCAGCTGCTGTCCATTCATTTATCTTTATCTCAGGATATTGCTATACATCCATTTGAATGAATAAAGTTTGATGTTCTTTATTAGCTACTGATTAACAGTTTATGTGCAGTTCCTTCAACAGTTTGTAAACTTAAGCTATCTAAATTTCAGGCTGCAAAATGATCTCAGTGTTTTAAGTACAGTTTTAAAAATCTAATGTAATGTAACTGGTACTGTTTTTTGACTAAAGCTTCACAGATGCAAGAGTGGAGTTTGACATTAGACTAAGCACACAGCTAAAAGACATGTGAATCATTGTAACAGGTGGATATGTTTCCAATAGTAAATAATGATTTGATTAATCTGTGCTGAAATAATTACTAAGTTAGTTGTAGAAGATCAGTTGAAGAGTACAACCAACAATGGTAACTTTCCATTGTATAACTTAGTGTCACATTGCTGCCACCTCCAGTTGGATTATGGCTTTTTTAGGATTTGTCTTAGTTTCTTTATTTTGGTTGTTAAATTAATCATGAATGAATTCCATTAATGAATTATTGCATCATTACATATATCTTAAAAAGTCTTAAATAAAATAGGTTTCAGAAACATGTAGGTTTGAACCTATAGATCCACAAACACCTCTTGGATAATGCTCGCTCATCTCCTACTTTCTCTCTCCCTGCTTTATATGTGTTTTCAGTTCAAGGTAGATGGCGAATGGTGGACATGGATCGACTATGAGCGTTTCCAGGAGCTCGTCCGGGCTCACGAGGAGAGTGGGGGACAGCAGAGCTTCTCAGCCTTAGACTACATAGCTAAAACTCCCAGCTGGGCTCTGTTCGGAGGCCATGAGCAAGGTTTTGACCCCGCAGACACGCGTTTCCAACGACGCAACAAAACCAAAGACATTTCAGGATGCTGATAAATGAGAGAGAGAGAAAGAGAGGTAGGATGAATAGAGCGAGTGCTGATCTCTATAGCAAAAATAATTTTAAAAAGTAGCTTTCAATGTTTCTTTTCCCTTTAGAGTTTCAAAGCTTTCTTTTGCTGGACAGCTTTTTTACTGTCCACAGCTGCCATTCTCATGTAAACTTAACTCTTTCTCCCTCTTTTCATTTTACTTCAATTTGGATCATTCATTTTATTAGCTTGACCCTCAATATCAGCCAAAACTGCTTGAATCAGTTCATTTACACTAGGTTTCCAGATATATTAGTGGTTTTGATTTGTGTAACCATCTGGTACACTACTTAGGAAGGCTTACACGGCTAAAGCTGAACACCTTTGCTCATTATCCTATTGACAATGGTTGTATGAACTTGGCAGTCAGTGCCTGGAAGGTAGAAAATAGTTACAAATCAAACATCATAATATATTTATAAGTATGACAACATTTTGGGTAAGACGGTTACTGCTTTTGTAGCATTTTAGCTAATCTAGGGGTGGATAATATAGTTTCAGAATTAAAAAACATCATCAGTACTTCTAATTTAATAAAATTGGTAGAGGCACTAAAACTGATAATATTGCGTCACTGTTTTGTAATGCAGTTCAAGAATTATTAAATCAAAGTTTGAGCTGGAAAAAAATTGCAATCACCATATTCTCAGACAATGTCAAGTCTTATATTATGTCAGTTCATCTTCCAGCTCTTAGTTAAATACACACAATACTGGCCTCAAAATAAATAAACTGCTAATGTTAAACATGTTTAAAATATTAATTCAACCCCCAAATGTATGTAGTTTGATCTGTAGTCACCATCCAGGTTAAGGTAATGAGTATGAAAAACAGCATACCTGTCAAACTCATGTATGCCTCCTCAAGTCCAGCATGCCAGAATAAAGCCTCGACTGATATTTTATTTAAAAATCAACGCCATTTTAATTTGTTTTTTATTTGAATGTAAATCCTGATTTAATCATTTACGTGATTTGTTTTGTAATGTCTCAAGTGTTGCAGTGTCTCCCTTTTTGGAGAAACTTCAGGTGTGTGGATATATCACTTCAATAAATGTATTTGGAATACTCTGCTGTGTCATTTGTGAATTTCATACTCAGCACACATACACACACGTGCATTATGGCACATGTGTCATACTGAATTTCTAGCAGACATCGTATTGTCATTTTTTGTTTTTTGCTTGCAACAAAGTGGGAATTTGACATTTTAAAAGCTTTCTGGGCTACACTGGGCCAACAGAAGAGCTCAAATTGAACAACAATTGAGGCAGAGGTAAAGTGATACAACTGTAAAGTAGCTCCCATTGTACCTTTTTAAATTTACTCAGGTGTAATTTGTACATTGTAGAGATTACTTGCATTGTCTAGTATAATATAAGAAGTCTACAGTTAGGCAGTTGAGGCACATGAACTATTTCATACTGTGCCTGCAACTGCAAGTCCAAAGCCAAAATATTTTCTTTTTCTCTCCTTTTATTTATTTAATTTTTTCTCTATGAGGTAGGTTCCTCTTGTTATATAGCCTTGTGTTGTAAAAATGATAAATACATTTACCTTGTACCTTGTAAGTGTCTTGCCTCCCCAGGAAATGTTGTCTGCATCAATTGCAGCACACACAGCCAGGTGCAGAGCTGTGGCGGAATAAACAATTCACATCCACTGAAGTCATTTAAAAACAGGGTCCACAACTCTCCTGGTTATATCTCAAAATACTTTAAGCGACATGGCATCCATAGGGGTGTTCCAGTTTTAGATATAACTGGGTAATGATAGTAGTTGGTTCATGTCAGTTACCACTGTCAAATTCAACAACAAATTGAAGCTAAGCCCTCAATGTGTGTTTTTTTTCAAATCACCAAAATATGCACCATGTGTTCCAGTGAGGGCATGACTACATTAAATATGTGCTATATGCTTATTTTCTATTGATTTGTTTTTGATGATTTAATCACACACAGACTGTCCAGATTATCCTGTCTTTTTATTACTTACTTATCTTTGTTTTTCTGGAAAATAGTAAGGAAAGTTGAACCAACTTAATGTTCCACTCTAACAAAGGTGATGTTGGGAAAAATGTTTTAGGGACCTAAAAGACTGACTTCCATCAGTGTACAACAAAACAAACGATAACAAATCAAGATCGTCTGGTTGGCTGCCTCCTTGGTAGAGTTGATGGATGACTATGTTGCACTAAATGGTAAAAAAAAAAACAGTTTACAAATAACTAAAATGTGCATTTCCATCTTAATACTAACTTGTTCTTGGTCATTGTTCTTCAAAATAACAGGAATGCCAGAGAGAAGGAAATTGTGCTGCAAAACAGCTATCACATAGAACTAGTAATTTGTAAAACAAATAGATACAGATACAAACTGTTCCATTATTGAGTTGGGATAGTTGAGTTTTTAGTGGTGTAAGATTACACGTAATGCAAAAGAGAACACGCAGTGAGTATACCGATTGAGGTTGCCAGGTGTGAAGTTCTGTTACTAAAAATATGTAGCAGGAAAGACACTGATTTTATTATGTGTACACAAGGCTGAAAAAGTTGGTGAGTAAAACATCCACCAGAGAGAGATACTATACGCATCCACTGGGTTAACTGATAATTGCTTGATTGTGTTAGCCTTCTAATTTAAAACCTACAAATGTAAATGTTAATGTCTGTCAACCATTTAATCTCAAGATACTGCATTTGGAGAGTACACACAGCACAACACAACGTGTAACAAAAATATTTGTATTAGTCTATTTTGGAAATGTGACGAGTCTATGTCTGCTGTAGTGTCTTTTATGTGATTAGCAATGGTTGAAGTGTTATTGGCATAAAGAAGATAATAGAAATGATTTTAAAACGTGTTATTCAGTCTACAGTGGAATACTAAAAATAGGTGTGTAGGATTCAAAATCAGCATTGTCCCATTACTCTAACATCTGCACTCTTGTATGTTTGCAATGTTTGGTGTTCTTGCATTGTAGGCTTATTTAACCCTACACAGTTACTGAAATTGATTAAATTGATGAATTTGTTCAATAGTGCTTTTTCATATATTGATCAGCTCTATACACCAATAGAAGTTAAAAATATTTCCATGATATGTTTAACAAATGTCACTGGGCATCTTGTTCCTGTCACACTTGCACAATATCTGATAAAATCATTTATGGTTATGAAATAGCATGCAGTGCCATTCAGCAAATATGTCTCTTTAACCTTGTCACAAAAAAGTCTAGAGATTGAGAATTAGTTTTGCAAGGAGGCCACACAGCAATAAAAATCTAACTGAACAAGAATAAAACTTTCTCAGAAAATTAAACAGAGGGAAAGGAGAAATATGAGCTAAATGGTAGAACAGTGTATCAAGGCATCACATATTCATGGCCTGACTGTTCTCTCTTTTTGTCACATACTTAATTCCCACATATTGTCACATAGTAGCACACTACACTGTTACAGAATATGGATTTATCATCCGAACATCTGAGCGCACAGTCTCCAGAAGCTGAATTTTTCATAATGTGAATGCATGCAGTGAAAATCTTTGATTAAGAAATTTGTTTTTATTGTCCTCAAGTAATCCTCCCCTAACACCAAAGAGACAAATAATTAATAATTGAGACCAACTTAAACAGAAAACATTACAGTAATTGTTTTTAAAAGAGAGTGTGCATGTGTTGGAGGAGGACTGAGAGAGAAACAGAAAGGGGATAACATCAGATTTTGTTGCCGTCTGTAAATGCTTGTAATTCTGTTCATACAATTATGTATCATACATACACATTGCTAAAGGCTGAGTTTTTTTTTGTCTTTTTTAAAATTTTCAAATCCCACATCTTAAGAACTCGATTCCAATCCCTAAACCCTCTTAATAAGCATTTAGCTAAAACATATGTGAAGCTAAAAACACACACACTTGGCTGAGCTCAAACAATGACAGATGGAGAGTTTAAAGGCTTCAGTTCATCCAAAATCCTTTGTACTGTAGTTCCTTCACTAAGTGCACTGTAAAGTGCCATTTGAAAGCAAGGACACAATACAAAGGAGACATTTTTTGGCATCTAAAATGGAATGTATTTATTCTGAAGTACATTTCCCGTTAGTAAGATATTGTACCCCTCTGGAGGCCCAAGAAATAAGAGTAAAAAAACCAAAACAAAAGGCTCCTTTTTTCTATTGCCAGGATATCGTTGGATCATGTGTCGACAAAGTATGCCTAATATTGCAGAGGGTAAAATGTTTGTCCACTGAGCTCAGAAATGACCAATGCCCCCATAAACACTGTTAAAAAATAGCTGTAGGTGGTGATGTTTTTAGCTCAGAGTCAGCCTGTGATGTCAAGGCTATAAACAGTTTGTGTGCGACTCGATGTGGCACGCTGCCTGTCAGCTTCTGCTCAGCACTCGGACTTTGATATAATCTGTATATTTATAAATGTGATGTGTTCAAGTGTGTGTCTGCATGCGTGACTAATGATAATGTGCCCAAAACTCAAGGGTATGTGAAAGTGATAATGGTTCTTGCAGATAGCTGGTAAATGTGTTGGAGGATGTTATCTGTGTGATTTTGCGTTTGTCAGATAGAAAGATGGGGACGAAGTCTGTTCGCCTCAGTGGAAAGTGTTCACAGACTGTTCTGCACCGCCCGCCAGCTCAAACCGTTACCCGATGTCCCTTCTTCCCCTCAGCTTCTGTGTATGTATGTTCATTTACTGTTTATAACTGTGTATTCATATGCAACTGTATGTGTCCTGTTTGGGCCAGATGTCCAGAGAATCTGGGCTCCAAGCAGTCCGCATTCCTCAGCTCATTCAGATTGTGTCCATCTGTAACCAAGCACCCCTCTGATGTGTGTTATCTCCATAACCTGCTCCTGGACATGGTAAGCAAAGCCTTTAATAGGATCACTGTCAGCAAACGGCTAGGTGCTAATTTAGTATTAATATTTATTGACTGTTTATTATCCCTTCCCAAAATTATGTTGTCCAAATTATGATTCTGAGCAAATTTTAAAATTGTTATTATTGTTTTACCTGAGTGAGGAGTTTTCTTATGTAAAATGTAACAGAGGCACATAGTTTATTACACTGAACATCAAGTGGAATGTTTTATATGTAATTTGGATTGATCTGGGGGCAGCATGGTGACCCAGTGGTTAGCATTGTGGCCTCAGCAAGGTCTAGCGTTTAAACCTTTGTTGTCCCAGACCTTTCTGTGTGGAATTTGCCTGTTCTCTCCGTGTCTGAGTGGGTTCTCTCCGGTTGCTCCCTCCCACCGTCCAAAGACATTCAGGTTGATTAATAGGTGACTCTAAATTGCCCCCTAGGTGTGATTGTGAGTGTGAATGGTTGTTTGTCTCTGTGTGTCAGCCCCGTGATGCACTGGCAGTTGTACCCTGCCTCTTGCCCAGTGTCAGCTGGGATTGGCTTCAGCACCCCCGTGACCCTGCATGGATAAGTGTTAATAGAGAATTTATGGATTGATTTGTTATTGATTTTTACATAATCGGATTTTAAACCATCCTACATCAGCACCAGTTTCTGCTGTATGGAACTTCACGCGAGACCTAAAATAATGGACTCATCTCTTACAGTATATACAGAATACATTTTTTTGTTTTTCTAGTGGGCCAACCACTCAAAAGCTGTCTGATGCAAGTGCTCAACTGCATGCGGTGTGTGTGTGTGTGTGTGTTGGTCCATGCGGTTTGCGCTGCGCCTGTGTGAATCCTTGCTAATTCATGTGTTTAGATGCCTGAATGTGTATCTGTAGTCTAAAAAAGGCTGACCTATAAACTGGATGAACTGCCCATGTTTGTTTTAAGTCTGTGCTTTCAGATGCCCATGTCAACGTGTGTAGCTTTGCCTCTCTGTCTGTACATGAATGCATTCAGACTTGCAGGGATGAGCTTGTCGGCACTCTGTTAAATCAACAGATTTGAGGGGAGCCAGGGCCAAAGAAGGAATTGCTGAATGACATCAACAGCTCAAAACAAATTAAAACACAATGGATACCCTTGTCTAGTGCCACACTGCAGAGACACAAGTTTGTTGATCATTGTTTCATTGGAC